GTGTGCGTGGTGCGGTTCGTGCGTGCTTGACTTTGCGTCTCACTCGCGTCGGCAGGTTGCCGTGTATGTTCAGCTGGTGGGTGTGCCGCTCGGTGAGAAATAAGTCACTCACTCTCTCGTGCGTCGTGCTCGCGTGATGTACCAGGCGAAAATACAGTCTTCACCTCACACGCGTGCCCAGCACCAGGCGAAATACAGTCCTCACTTCTCTTCACGCGCTGGCAGTGCGAGAATAAGTCACTCACTCTCTCACAGCGGTGCGCCACAGCCTGTGGTGTGCCGTCGTGCGTTGGCGGTTGAAATAAGTCCCCTCCACTCTCTCCACGCGGGCAGTACCAGTCGTGCGTCGTGCGCAAATTAAGTCGCCTCATCTCTCACACGCGCGTGTCGCGTAGTTGCAGTGATAAAGGGGACGTCAGTATAATATCAGGTGTTCAGTGACCCTTTTGGGTCCGCATGAGTGAAATAACAAAATACCCAATTGTATCTGTTGTTATTCGGAACTTCTCCGGGAAATGCATGACTAATCACTAAACAACCGTATACAGTATAAAGGAATAGATATATTATCAGGGAACCTACTTATCTACTTCTGATAATATATATATATATATGTGTGTTCTGTGTTGTGTGGTGTGGTGTGTGTGATGTGTGTGTGTGTATGGGTGGTGTGTGTGTTGTATGTGTGTGTATGTTGTGTGGTATGGTGTTGAGCCCGCGGCCTTTCCCTGGCTGTGTCGTTGTGCGCGCGCCTGCGCGCGCGCTGGCCGCCTGTGTGTGTGTGGTGTGTCGTTTGCTACGGGTGTGGCACCAGTGTGCGTGCGTGTGGTGTGGTCGTGAGAATAAGTCCGCTCTCTCTCTCCACGCGCGCCTGTGGGGCGTACGGTGGTCGTGTTGGGTGTGTGTGGTGTGTCGTGTGTAGTGTTGTGGGGTGTGTGTGTGTGTGTGGTGTTGTGTCTGGCTGTGATTGTGTGGTGGTGCCAGTGTGTGTGATGTGTGTGTGTGTATTGCGTGTGGTCCGGTGTGTGTGGGTGTGTGTGTGTGTGTGGTGTGTGTGTGTTTGGTGCCGGTGTGTGTATGGCGTGTGTGTATGTCATGTATTGTATGTGTCTGTGTGTGGGTGTGTACCTAGTGTGTGTTGGGTGTTACGGGTGTGTGTGCGTGGGTGGTGTGTTGTGCACGCGCGGCTGCGTGGATAGCCGTAGACCGTGGAAGGTCTATACATATGTGCGTGGACGCTATGCGGTGTGAAGTTGGCCGCCGAGTTGCAGTGCGATGCTGCGTCATACTCGTATATTATTTATATGCCTCGGCTATGCATGCTTGTGACCCCCGTGAGTGCGTGCATGCGTGCGTGCGTACGTGCGTGCGTGAGTTCCTATACGTATACAGTATTATTCATTAAATAAATAAACGAGGAAGGAACTCACGCTGCTTCACCGCGTCCGCTATAACCGACGTATTTCCTTACAGTAAATCGATACATACGTGAGAGACCGCCAATAACTCACCCTCGCACCTCGTGACTCACCCACCTTCTCCTTCCTCCTACGACCGCGATATGTGAACTCACCGGGAATCAGACAACTCTCCCGTAGATTATAAGGCTAAGTTCTGTGTAGTAGAGTCAGTCAGTCGACTCAGTCGACAGTGATGCTAGTGTTCACTGCGTTGAGCGATATATGATATATTGCAGATCTCGCGTGTTTGCGGTGCTGAACAAAGCTCCTCATTGCTGGGCTCGTAGCCAAGTCTCAGTCATTGTAGCATCCATCGTCGAAATGCTTGCATCTCCGCAAATCATCACACACTGCGAGAGAGAGAGAGCGCGCGAGCGCGTGCGAGAGAGGGAGAAATAAGTCCCCCTCACTCTCTCCACGCGTGGAGAAATAAGCCGGGGAGTGAGTGAGTGGAAGAGAGGGAAAAGCCTGGGCCTACTACTGCCTCCGTAGTTAAGTAGCTCCTCTGCGTGCGGCGGTGCGGTGCGCGTGCCCACAGGTACATGGCTGGATGACCCCGGTGTCCCTCGTGTAGGCTCGGGCGGCTAGGCCAGGGGCTACGTATGACGCTTTGCGGGCACTGACAGGCGTACTTTATATCTGCCGTACGCCACGGCTCCCGCGCGCGCGCTCACGCATCGCCTCGTCTGCTCGCCACAAGTGAAATCGAAAAGAATGTATTTCAATGTATCGAATGTCGATGTATGTTCGTGTAGGTTATCGAATGTATATTTCAAGGCAATAGTATTACTAATTGCGATCTATCGCTGCTAATGACTTGATGAACTTCGTCTCATCTCCTTCCCCTCTCTTCCCCTTCTTCGCCCTTTCTCTTCGCTTCCCCTCCTCTCCGCCTCCTCTTTCTCCTCCTCCCGCCTCTCCTCTACCCCTCCTCCTCACTCTTCTTCCTCCACCCCCTCCTCCCCTTCTACCCTGGCGCCCCGTTCGCCGGCGACTCGGAGGATCTTACATGTCCGTACACAGATTGCAGCGGATGGAGGCTCCGGCTAATGTCTCTTACAGCGGCCATGCTCCCCCTTATTCCTCCCTCTACCGTCCCTCCTCCTCCTCCTCCTCCCCTCCTCCTCCCTCCACCTTGCCCTGTCCGCTGCTCGTCGGCTGCGGTGGGTCCGTAACAGATGGGTGGATGGGTTAATGACTCGTGATTGCCGGCTCACGGGCGCGCGCGACACAGGATGTGCCATTGTGAGCACAAGCGCCCGATCTCTATATCTGGTTCGACTGCATGCGTGCCAATTGTAGCGGTGAGTGTGGAGGTGGCTAGTGGGAGGAGGGGAGAGGGGGAGGGTGGAGGTGGCTGGTGGGAGGAGGGGGAGGGGAGGGGGCTGGGTGGGAGGAGGGTGGAGGGGGAGGGTGGAGGTGGCTGGTGGGAGAAGGGGGAGGGTGGCTGGGAGGAGGGTGAACGGGGTGGACGTGGCTGGTGGGAGAAGGGGGAGGAGGGTGCGGGGTGAGAGGAGAGCGGAGTGGAAACAGGGTGGCGGGGGTAAAGAGGTTGGAAGAGCGTGGATGGGGAGAGGGCTGGCGGAAGAATGGTAGAGAGGGTGGAGAAGGCTGGTGGGGGAGGGTGGAGGGGGCTGATGTATCAAGTGGTCTGTTCTCGGTGTGGGCATGCCTAGCATTTGCTCAAATAACTGGTATTTTGTCGTAATTATATATTTAAGGTAGATCAAATATATTCGCTAACTGTTTGCTATGAAAGGTTGCTATCTCATTGCCTCAATTTAATAAAAAAAGGCGTAAAATCTTAAAAGGCATTAAATCTTAAAAGGCGTTAAATCTTCCGATTCACCGAATCGTCGAGTGAACTTTTGTACGCATTTCTGTGCCGTTAGTCGGCGCTAGTATCGCTCACTTGATGTAGCAGAGACAATAGAACACTATCTGTTCTAGGGTCTCTGGATGTAGTATATAGGATGGATGCTAAACTATATTATATTCATATATATTTTTCTTGTTAAAAATAATCATTTGTAGAGAGAACTCCGGAGTAGTTTTATATCACAAATATCGATCCCACCGTTTTCTCTAAATAACGAGAGCCAGAAATACACCGAGAGAGAGAGAACATGAAGGAGAGAAGGGGAAACTTGCTTCTAAGTGTCGGAGGACGGGGGCGCAGGGAGAACCCCCTAGTTTATGCAGGAAATTATAATAAAAAAACCTAAAAATATAGATAACCTTAAAAATAACTCGTATTATCGTAATTAGGGAGACTCCCGTCTCAGACCCTAGCCGCCACAGCATGTACGTTGAATGGTGGCTTTGTCCATTAACCCCAGCTGAGTCACGAAATTTTGCCTCGATCTATACCCACTAAGAAGTTGCTCAGACTACGGCCCTAATCTGCCAAGTATCTGCTAAAAAAACGTGTTTTGTTGGAAAAAAATATTTTCAGTAGGAAGCGCATACTTAGAGGTAATTTTATATAAAAAAATATGGACCTAGGTGTCGTCCTGAAATACGTAGTATTAGATTCCCTTAATATAAGGATATATAATTAATTCCTAATTTCTAATTTCTATACTTCTATCTTCTATACGTAGTATAATGCACCAAAATATCCCGCAACGCCGAGTAAAATTATTTACCTCTTTCCTTGCCGTTGGTCGGCGCTAGTGTCGCGTACGAGTACCGAAATAATATATCCGTTTAATTTTGTGGACATGCGCGAACATATATATAGTTCAGGGACATCGGCAAAGCTTTGTTCCATATAATCACTAATGAGATACTCCTATACCTCTTCTACACTCCTTCTTCTTTTCCTCCACCTCCTCCTGTTGTGTATTTGTGTAGGCGCGTGTTTGTGTCTGCGTGCGTGCGTGAGCGTGTATGCGTGTGTGCTTATGTGTGCGCATGTGTGTGTCGAAGGGGATGTGTAGGCGTAGACAGATGAGAAAACTACTACTGAATCGCAACGTAATTTCGTCAAAAGCCTTTATTGCGAATTAGTATCAACGTTACACACGCGTGGATTTACTTTGGTCTCGTACTTACATTATTATAGGTAACGCGTGCATTCATGTCTCTAGCGCACAAGTATGATAGACGCTCACAGCGCCGAAATCATGCGTTAATTAATACGTACGATAGAAATACAAAGCTTCCATTCGCATCTTGCTACCCAGTCCGTAGCAGGGTACCCCATTAAATTTCAGATTGGCCATAGTAAAAAAAAAATGACGACGAATAACTCATGGCGCAGATGACGAAAAAACATAATTAAGTAATTAATAAGTAAGTAATTATGGCGATCTTGTCAGGGGTGACGTCATCGCGCAAGTGACGTCATTAGGTAAATAACGTCATCGCGCGGATGGCATCACGGGTAGAGGGCCGTCATCAGGTCAGTGACGTCATTAGGTGAATGACGTCATGGCGCGGGTGACATCGTCGGGTAGCGGGACGTCATCAGGTCAGTGACGTAATTAGGTAAATGACGTCATCGCGTGGGTGACATCGTCGGGTAGCGGGACGTCATCAGGTGAGTGACGCGGCGGATGTGTGATGACGCAGCGTTCTCTGTCGTGTCATGGTCTCCTCGGCGAAGCTACTCGTCACAACTTCGTTGAAGAGGATGTCGCACGACGCGATACCCGCACCGGCCCGGCCTGTCCTCATGTTGGCGATAGACTCCCATCTAGCGGACGAAAATCGAAGTAATGTGATCTTTAACGAGTTTTTTCGGTTAAACAAGCGGACGCCTATCGCATGTGGCCTGTGTTGTTCTCAAACGTGCTGACGCTTTGAGAAAGAGAGACAAGCAGATTATCTTTCTCTTTTCTCTCTCTCTCTCTCTCTCTCTCTCTCT